CTGACAGTATGGCATGTCTTGGACGGCGTAGAGGCTCCTTGCTCAATGCAGCAGGTATCCAGTTTAAACATTCACTCTAGAGCAGAGGCCGCACACGGGCCGCAAACCACCCCAACGGAAGAGGGCAGGACGGAACGGAGGTTGCGCCGCTGCATGAGGCAGCCAGCGACATCAGTGCACTTGACCTTCGGACGTATAAGTACGAGCCGCTTGAGGTGCAGCAGGCCGCTAGCAGCGAGGTCTCGGCCGAGCTCGGGGAAGTAGAAGCTACCATTAAGTTCGTCGTCACTGATGGTGCAGTACACCTGCAGCTCCCGCAGTGACGAGGCGTGCGCGCGGACCAGGGAGAGCATGGTGGGCTTGTGGAGAGTGTTGAGGGCCACGCACAGCCAGCGCAGTGTCCCGTACTCTGAGGTAGTGAACGTCACATTGGGACCAACGTAATCCCACACCGTTAGGCTGTGCAGGGCGGGCATGCGCTGCACACTGCGCAGCTGACGCTCGCTTGGGAACTTTATTCTGAACTCTTCCAGCTGCAACGGCAGGTCCGGGTAGTCGTCACACTTCTGAACGCTTTCGATGTGTAGCCGTTTGAGTGAAGTCAGTTTGAGTACCTCTTCCATGACCTTCGGTTCTACCGGACCGGAGCACTCGAGCTCCTCGAGGTGCACAGGGTGCGACGCTAGGACACGCAGTAGTTTATCCGAGCCCTTGCCCTTCAAGCCCTTTATGCAGCGTGCATGTTCCCACCGCTGTTTGTCGCGTACGATGTCGTTCACCTTTAAACCACCTTCAGAGAGATCTTTGTCTGTTATGGTCAGGGTGGTTGTCATTGGTGGCCCCACGTAAGCGGCTGGGGACGAGGGGCCAGCGACGTCGTCAACCTGGACGAGAAGACATCACATAAACAACAGACCAAACAGCTGAGATCAACAGAGGTGGCCGTCCTGGCTGGTGGCTTACCTTGGCCAGCTGGCCGTCTGCGCGCAGCTGCAGCAACAGAAGGCGGAAGACGTCGCCCAACTCGCCGAGCTGCACGTCGGCCTTCCAGGTGGATCCACCATCCTCTTCCTCCGTGACGACGCTGCACTTGTTGGTGGTGAGCAGGCGGAGGCTGTCCTCCAGCTGCATGGCCAGCTGCAGCTGCTCCGGTGAGGTGCGTCCATCTCCTGTCTTACACTGCGGCACCTGCTGCTCCAGGGCCTCCTCCAGCTGCACGAGCTGGGCGACCGACTCATCCAGCTGCCGGTTGAGTGCCTTCACGGCCTTGGGGAACGCCAGCCGCAGCGCCTCCACCACCTTCCTGCCCGCGTCCACGCCCCGCTGCAGTTGCTGTCGGGGTGGTACGACTCTGTCCTGAATCAGTCGGAGCAGGGGGATGTTGTCGGGGAGGTCGCGTGGGTTCGCCGGCAGGGCCTGTGAAGGACAATGAGAACTGGTGATGCGCGCTGTTTCCTTGACTTAAAAACGACGGCAACGACAACGGCGGTGATACAGCGAAAAGTTTGCTGGGAAAGAAACGCAAGATTAATATTGAGTCCCTCACTCGTTGTAATACTCTTCACTTAATTCTATACCCTGGCGGAGATCTTACACGTTAGTGCACGCCTTGCTCACGCCAGCGCAAGGTGTATCGATACAGGAGGAATACGCGCTCCGCACGCGATTGGGTGGTGGGTACAGTGTGGATTAGTGACGCTTCAACGTGTATTCGTCACCCGTTGCGACGGCGTGCGAAGGCGGGTGGAGCCTGTATCAATACACCTTCGCGCGGTAGGCAGGAACCCCTTGGAGCGGCGTGCCGCACAGGCTCCTTGCAGGCACGGATGGTGTGTGGGTGGCGTACAGATACACGTTGCAGTGGCGTGCAGAAGCGTATGGATGGCGTACAGATACACGTTGCAGTAGCGTGCAGAAGCGTATGGATGGCGTACAGATACACGTTGCAGTGCCGTGCGTTT